GAACAATAGTAGCAATCCGGAGACGCGGTCTGCTACTTTATACCGTCTTCTTGGGATTTGAGGATTTGCACGAATACATCTGTTTTAACATATGTTTGTGTCCAGGTCCAAAGAATCGTACACTATATATTTGTTTGTGCCACTTGCTACTTCGTGACATTGTACATGTCCGACTTCTTTGTATTGTCACGACCAGTCCCGCATCAAAAATGAACAGAGCGTATTTAATACATAAGAGATAGTGTTGGGGCCGATTTTCCATGCGCAACTAAATCGTGATCAGTCAATGTCTCGGTAGACGTGTTGTCTGATACGCCTGGCGTTTTAGATACCCTCAGTAGTTTTGCTAATCAGATGGGCGATAACAGCGCCATAATCGTCACACAGGGCGCGTTCCAATACCGAGTACTAGTAACTTAATTAACAATGTATTTTAAACGTGTAACACGGGTAGAATGATACCTTGCTGACGTCATCGCAATGAGGTATTGTTTTGTGTTCATATTCCAGGTCGTTTTTGTTACGGAAATAAAATGTGGGTAACTGCGAAATAGTGAAGTAAACCACGAAAGCAGCGTGAAATAGCTAAAGAATAAACTCCCAGGAATGCCGAAAAAATACGGTATTCTGAATTGATAGCGAAGTGTTCTATATGGTTATGCTTTGTGTTTAAGCATTAGCTCGCGGGAGTGAATGACAAATGCTTATCCTTTTTGCAAATAATTGAAAGTAATGCCATTTTAAATGAAGAAAATAGTCACATGTTGGGCATTATTTCAAATTTGGGACGGTAGTAGCCTGAGGTTGCCCTCCGCGGTGCTCCAAACCCAACACAGCGAGGTCTGATGTCGTTCGCCGGCCGCCGCCTGCATGTTAGGCTATACTAGAACGGCAGAAGTGGCCATGTAATTGAATTTCGTGTTTGGAAAACCATTAAAATTGACCGGCAACTATTTGTTTTAGGACTAAGGTATTTATCTACTCGTATATTCCTTTTCTTAACATGATGAGATTGCTGGCAGTATAGAGCGAGAAAAATGTTTGTTGTACGCCCGTCTTGATCCAGAAAAGAACATTTGCAGAATTCCATTCATAATCTCAAATGTAAAGTTACAGTTTAAGAATATTGGCATTCTGGTTACAACTGTTTTCTTCACGAGTTAATGGCACCTACACCCCCCCCCCTCTCTCTCTCTCTCTCTCTCTCTCTCTCTCTCTCTCTCTCTCTCTCTCTCTCTCTCTCTCTCTCTCTCTCTCTCTCTCTCTAGCTTTCTCCGATTACTTGGATACCTTTAAGTTTGAGTAAAGTATATTACTCCGAGATTAAACATAATAAAATTGCGGGCTTCTTGTTTAATTTCATATTAACCATGTTTTATAAATAATTTGATCTTCTTATTACGTAATACCACTCACAATAACATTTTTTTGCTATGATAGTTATTGACAGTTAAATTACACAGTGGTACTATAAATCAAATGCATTTTGTAACGTCTAATGTCTTTGTATAAATGTACTAATTAAATTCACGTGAACATATGAGAAAACAATATAACACTTGCTGACAAATTCGTTAAATTAAAACTCTTTGAATATGTACAAAATATTAAAATACTGAATGTAAATGCCAGTAAATATGAATTATTTTACTGTATTCAATGTACGTGTGACAGTGTTTGAAATTCGGTAGACGTGCATGTGCCGGGTGTGTCTAGGAATGCTGATTAAATGCAACGCACGCACGGGAGCGATTCATAGTTATTGTTGTTTGTGGTGGTGGTTGAATTGTGGTAATTTGCGATTCGCGTTTGTTGTTACTTAGCCCAACCTTCGTCAATAACGAAGATGCCCTTGTTACACAATGGTTATTATTGCTGAGCGTCAAAGGTCAAATGACGGCGATGCGTTACTAGCCAAGATACCGTGTGTGTCCACCGCTATGTGGTTGCCAGGTGCCGTCTATGTAGATCGACCGAGGTGAGCGTATGTCATGTGTTGAAACACAGACCCTGTGCGACTGTTTTGTCGGGCGAGTTACCCAACGAGGGCTGCGAATATGGGAGACATTTATCATATTACGCCACGGCTTTTATGCCATATACAGATTATATCCGGGGACCTGAGTTGTCTGCGCGGATAACGGTGTTGTTGTTCGAAAGTATGTCCGTGACCGCTCACGTAACTAGAAAACTCGTAGTAACATTAACTACATTATACGGCGTCATATATTCAGACTAAATCGAATAGTTAGGCATCAGCGAAATAAATTGGGGTGTCACCGGTGTAGACGCCGATCTAATGCGCCGATCGAGGGGTTGTCAAGCAAGTAGACTCTGTCTTACAGCATATATACCTGCGTTAATAATGCTGTGGTTGTTTAATGAAATACAACGCTAATCCGATAGTATCTACCATAGAGAATTGTTATAAACCTCGTACAGCTCTGTCAAACTTACGTTGCTGTCACACGTTCCCTTCCCCAAAAGAACGCACAGTATCGTACATGATTCACGTATGTAAACAGAATAACAATTGAGTTTTATTATTGATCAATCGATAATCAATTTAACAATACGTACCTAAGGTATGTGTTTCCCTACGACATGGCGGTATATACTGTAGCGTGGTCTATACAAATCCTTCCCTTCCTGCCGCGAGATCTAGTTTCCCCCACTATACCCGGTGATATGGCGATTTAACAAGTGAGTGTACACATACATTCGCAGAATCCATTCCGTCCTCGGGGGGGAGGGGGTCTCGAGCAGGGTCGAGTAAAGCGATTAGGGGCCTTGTCGTCACTGTGAGAGAATTGAAAACTAGATATATCAGCATTATACCGGGAACGTACGCGTTTCAACGATCACAGGAACTTACATACTGTTTCGTCTCTCAAATCCATAACCCGAGACTCCTTTGTTGAATGAAATCGCCCAGGTGTGTTTTTGATGTGTTTTTTTTATTCTGGCGTTAGCGACACTGAACAGGTAAATATAATAGCTCCGTCCTCACAGAGAAGTAACAAGAACCATTGCATGTATTGTGCCAAGCAACAATGAGCCTTCTTTTGAATTATAGATTCAATGGCTGTATTTTCCAACCCCAAAGAAATATCGACATTTACTTCAATGAATGATGTCTGCTGTAGTCAGCTTCTCGCAGCTTAGCTTGTGTGAATTTTACAAAGCGGAGTGAAATTAACAATGTGTATTTGCCTTATATTTATACGTCATTAATTACATGAAATATTAATTGATTGACCGATTATTTGATAAATTAACTAATAAATTATTCTCTTTGCGCTTTCACTACATATATGAATAGTCATACTAAGAATATTTCCATATTATCGTGTTTATTTTATTTAACCATCCTGGCTTTTTCTAATAAAATACGTAGCGAGGATAGCAATGCTCGTCTTCTTACACTGCGGTTGGTCGTCTTTTAAAAGATCGTACTAAATGGCTTCCACTTTTAGTAGTGGGGTGACCCGAGTACGTTCGGTGCTCTTGTGCTTAGCGATGAATACCAGTAATTTTAAACCATCACACCGGCAGGATCCAATGAAGCATTACGCGATCGTTCTGTTGGATTGATATAATACGTCTTTTCTCTTTGTCCAATTATGACATATGGATGAAGACGATTTAGTAATACGATATTTCGTTGTTTTTTTCGACGTGTTACATGGCGGAAGCAAAGTTTCAGCAATTGCTAATTCAGTTTCAGTTTGTGTCGGTATGTCTTATCGTGCATTATTGGGTAAGTTACTGGGTAAGGAATTCTTGCCGTAAACTGTCAGAAACATTTCCTCTCAGTGGATTTTGTGGGTTTGTGTAATTAAAATATAGATGCGGAAATGATGGTCACGCATATTTTAATTTTGTTTATTTTGTTGTAATATATCGGCACATAATGATGAACCGCTTAAAAACACTCTGAACTTTCTACCGTTTCTACCTGACCCCGTGACCGGGTTGTTGACTCGTACATTGTGCTCAGCAGCCATGTGAAATATTCGCTTATTATCATCCCACAAGTATAAGACAGTCAATGTTAAGAGGGCCACATGATAATTTGATAAATATTGATATTGGCCTCTCCCAGCGTCACGGTCACGGTAGATTTGCCTCTGGTGTCATTTTCTGTTACTGGTCTCTGATGTCATAACATCCGAGACGTTATATTTTTGAAGACGATGAAAGGATGGAAGACACTTTTGAATGCATTTAGAGAGCAAATTATAATTTCAACACGTAAAGTTTGTTTTTCAAGTTGGCGCTCAGATTAACCTCGGTTACTGCCTCATTCTATTTAATAATAAAATAAATAATTAAATAATAATAAGAATAATTAAACAGTTATATTTTCGTTGGTTTCGGTCAATATCAAGAATTATCCTCCCAAAGTGGCTGTTATTGGCCACAGCCTTCAATCTGAATTTATAGTCACTGTTCTCAAATAATTTGCATACTGTAACTGTGGCAGGTGCACCGTATATGCAAAATATGCATAATGGTAAATTATGAATATTCATGATCTACCTCGCAAAATATTTCATTGCATAATGACGAGCAGCGTGTCTGTCAGACCGCCGTTATCATGATCTGAGCTCAGAACCCACTTTATTCTTAACAGCGTAAAACTTGATCAGTGTTTCATCATTGATGTTATTGATATTTCTGAATATGTATTCAAGTCTTCAAAGTGATTTGACTTACAACAGGAGATTTAGTGTACAAAAAGTACGGCGATGAATGTGATTGGTCGATAATCACTAGGTGTTTTTTAATTAAGTTGACAACGTCTTCAGGCGAGGATAATAAATGTATATCATTCCGTTGCTGAATAGTCCCATGTGTGATGCATGAAAAGAACGTTTCAACAAAGTATGCATTCCGCACTGTCCCCTGCTGTGAAACATAGCTCTGGTAAATACACACTGGATACTGGATGTCAAGTTTCCATTTTGCGTTATTTTAAAAATATTTAAAGGGCGGCAGTCGTCTAGCTGCGCATGTGCGACATTTGTGTTGATAAACATTGATTTTCCCACAATCCAATGCGCTCTTCTAATGGAAATCACAAGTATGAGGTTTGACCTGGGCTCGACTTGCACTAATTTCCACCAGTGACTCCTTAGATGCCTTCCAAACACCTAAAAAATACCAAACTAAAGCTTGGTAACGTCTCAGTTTGTACTCATTTATCTGCGCAACAATCAAAAGTATTTGTTTATATGAGACCTATAAATCTCGCGCATGCGTGGCGCGACGGCTACCGCCCTTTAACAAGAAACTTACAAATTAATGATTCTGGGCTTATAATAAATACAACCGCACACATTTTATACTAGATGGTAGTACTCTTAGTGAGAATTACTTCTTAGGCAGTCTTAGTCTCTGAAAAAAGGAACCTAGGGTGGTTTTCTCCTCGGAGAATAATCTGATCTACCATTCCTGAGTGAATATAAACGAACTATAACAGAACGATATCAGTATGTTTGTTCGTTCTCTATTATGTTAGTTATTTGTGATAATTGCGTTTCAATTCACGGAGATATTACGATGGCTGGCTTAAGTTCGTATCACGTGACTCCAGAGAATACTCTATTGTTATTCTGAATAGTCCTGACATCTACTGAACCCTTCCTTTCCTTCCACCGAGACCATAAACGCAGACCACGTACCATGGTATACTATGTTGACTACGCTGTATTGGATAGTTGACTCTACAGGTCACCTTATACGACTATTTTCATTGGTACTTGGATACTCGCCTTTTACACAACAACACTACGTAAACTGTTGTCATAGACACCAAAATCAATTTTTGTCCTCTTTCATCAAATAAATTTGATGTTTTCTTTTCTCAACATTGTTGATAAATTGTTGAGACTTGTAGTAATATGATATTACCTTCCTTTGTTTATAACGTAACATTTTTTTTAATTTATAGAAACTATTCAACTACATCATGCATAAAAAAAGTTGGACGGACAAAGTGGGGCCCCAGTACGCTAATGCTTGTTTACAAATCAAATTTATTTGTTGGTCCACACAGATGTAAAATGTAATACTGCAATGGCCGAATTATGAATTCGCTGTAGAAATTACTAGACCGATTGCTGCAGTGAAATCGACAGACCATGCAATCTCATTTCCACAGAATCATCGAACCTGATGCTTCGACAGAGAGCGAGGGAAAACCCACACGAACACCCAATACATGATATGTTGATTCTCTAACAAGGGAATTATAAGAATAGAAGC